CATCTCTTGCCGGCTTGCTGACCTTTTACCCAGATTCCAAACACAGAACATCTGTACATCCCAGTGCAGCCCCCACGTAGTACAAGGGGATGGAGGCAGGAAGAAAAGAAAAAAGAGAACAAGAACAAAAAACAGCCGTAAAATTCTGGTTCCCATGGATCGATCGGGATATGGGATCTTTTCCATTTGGGACTGTTTTATGTGATTTTGTGGTTTTATAGTCACAGATTTTTTCCCCCCATCTATGTATGCCAGAAATACAAATCTGATTTTATCAGCCTTCAATCAATATTTTTACCAAAGTTGAAGACAAAAACTAAAGAAAAAAAACGTTAAAAAAATCACTGATATTTTATTTCTATCTGACCTATCAGATATGAACATATGAATATTGAAACAAGGCTTAATTTTGTTACATCATCAGATTAGGAGTCAGACAAATGTCACCTGCCCTACATGTATGTTCCTCATTTCTGATATCATGAGATATTCATGAGTGTCAGAGAAGGAGTGACCTTTTTTAACCGATTGCACAATGACCAAGGTTCAGGGTTAGTGGTTGGATCTCATGACTGCCTTGTGATTGAGTAGAAACATTTGTGAGGATGGATTGGATAGGTCAATCTATAGGGGCTTCAGGGCAGGACACAGTGGACGCTGCTTTGAAGGGGTATCGTACAAATAATGGATGGAAATAAGTTAGAAAAGGATTATAGAAGTTGTAAGATTTATATTTTTGGTTGGGGTGTGGTCAGGAATTTACTTTATTTTAAGTCAGAACTTTTCTTTGATTTATACGCATGCCTTTTGAATTTCATAGCATGTAAAGCACAGGTGTAAAGGCCTCGGTTCAATAAAAGGGAACTACACCCATTTTTTTTAATCCATTCTTGTTATTCTCATGATCTAATACAGTCCAAAAATAAAGTAAACATGAGTAATTCTCTCCCAAATCTCAAAACTAGAGATTCAAAACTAAAATATGTATTTGTATAATTTCTGATTCCATAGAAAATGAATGAGAAAATATGCTATAGTTGACACTGAAAGCATGCATGGGGATGTTTTGAGTGTATATGGACATTTTCTGAGGACACTATAAAGCTCATTTGGGTTTAAAAAACGAAACGAGATAACCCCTCTGTTCATAGTCAATAGAGAAGCTGTCGACTGTATAATTGATGTTATAACAAGTTAAGACTTTCTTCTCTGGTTTTATAGCTTGACTATAGAGTAGCTCATGTTCCCAGATTTTGTTGAACTTTCCTACGACAAGTAGATAACATATTGGAATTCTTTTTTTTTCGTGGTTTCATCTTAGTGTCCACGTACAGTAGGATATGTCAGTGTGTCAGACCCTGAATCTGGTAAGCCTAAAAGGAATGCAGCCATAATTGGTTATAAGTTACACCTGTGCCCATTTCCTGCTAGCGTAACAGTGTCACTGTTTCATAAATTTCACAGAGAAAGTGATATATTTAGGGATTTATAGGTCTTTTTTGTATTTCCTTTTAAAGAAAAAAAAGCTGTATACGGAAACAAACAACCAACCCCAAGGAAACAAACAACCAACCCTAGTTTTCAACCACACCATTTTACGTTTTCGAGAGACATAACCGAGGGACTGCACATTCTGCCAAAAAAAGGGAATAAATCAGTTTGGGCAGATAACATGGATATAATCTTCCTGATTCATACACCAGCCCGTCAGGTAAAACACACTACTGCCTCCTAGTGGTGCGAAGTGAGAGCATATCATTTATTTTTGCTCAGTCTTGACCCCTGACCATTTCATCACTGGGGCCCCTTTGGAGATTGTTCTGCTATTCTTGCCCCAGGAGCTGCATTTGAGTCTGCAGCAGTCCCAAGAGATAAGGTGCTATTTATTAACCTCTAGTTTAGTTCATAGCAAACAGGCCCAGGCAGGGAGAGGATATGAGAGATTTCCTGAGAGGAATCCAGCATGTGATCCTCTGACATTTTGCACCAGTGTCAGGAGACTTCCTCAGTTCCCACGCAAATATTTGACTTGTGCCTTTTTATGACGCAAATACTTAAAATATTGACATGTGCTTAGCTTTTGTAACCTTCTGTAAAGTTTCCAAAAAGCAGTTTCTTCTCTTTGAGGTCAAAACCATAGTGATAAGTTATATAAAGCTCCAGTGCCCTGTTCGTGCAGCTGACCAAATACTTTAATCAACACTTACACACAGTTCATTCATGCATGGATCTTTCTTGCATGCTTAGATACATCCATTTATACAGTGCACACAGTCGTCTCCTCTTACATTCCTTACATCTCATGCTTAGCTTACGCATGCACAGACGTGTTACGCGATACAGATGAATGTGTTTTCGTTATTGCTTGTGCTTGACTGGTTCAGTATTTGTTTGCCATGAGATACTTTTACTCTTGCTGATGGACGACCCAAATACTGCTCATGCTGCTCCCTCTGTACTTTCACTGTTCATGGACTAAATGAGTATCCCAGCTGGCAGGAAGCAAAAAAGCACAGAATGTCCACATATCCCAATTTGGATAATGTAAATACGTATAGACTGTGATTGACCTCAGCAGCTGTGTTTGCTGTCAGTTTTTGTTATGGTGCTTGAAATCTATACTGGTTAAAAAAAATTCTGAGCAAGGAAATGCTGCCTATATACTAATGCAACACTACTTGACTTGATGCTCAGGCAAACTGTGGCGAATACATTTCCAAAAGGTCGACACTTCCAAAAAAAAGTATCTGACTTTTCAAATCAGGGCAGTTGGGAGACCGATTGCAAGGAGTCATTTCTGCTTAACCTTGATTTGTCAATATTTCCAGACAGGAAATTCAGACTTACACATATGCTGTAAAACAACAGGACTTGCTGAGTGTGTCAGTCATGCAAGACACAAATGAAGGAGATAGAATAGACTAGATGAACTAGAACTGGTGTTTAAAGAAGTATTTCCATGTTTTGAAAATAAATTGAGCAGTTAGGGCTAGGTGATGATGAGTTTAGGCTTAGGCTATAAACAAACTACATCATAGTTGCATGGCTGCTGCATGTCAATGCCGCTAAGCTAAATATAGACTGTTTTTCTTCTTGATGACATTTGCTAGTCTTATTTAGTCACTTGTTAGCAATCACCAACATAGAGGCTTAGGACATTCAGGAGTAAGGCACTTACATATTTACTGATACATTTTATTTTGTAACATCAAAATCTCTTAATCTTGTATAAACCACAGACCTTATTTCAGGTTTCTAACCACAAACACATTCAAAAAACTGTTGACTTTGAGACAAGGGAACCAGAAGTGGTAAAATACTGAATAGTTCCCGGGTTTTTGGACTGATTCCTGCACCACTCTTTTGAAAGTTCTATTTGTTTACTTAATAAAAAACTGATGTTTAGCTGACTGGCTAGATGTTTCACATATCCAGGAATTATGCCCAGATATCATGTAGTCGTAACAGTGCTATTGATTGTCTTATCTAACTCTAGAAAATGAATGTGCGTATTTCTGTAAACAAATTCACCTTAAATAATGTACATACAATATTAAATACTGAATTATGTTTGGCATAACACCATCAAATGTTGTATTAATGTAGATAAAGAGGAACCCTGCAGAAGTATGCTACTGTTTGCTCAGTAAGAAATCCGTTGAGAGACCAAAACAAGTTGCCAAGGTCAAGGATGAATTCCATGCTAAATGCAGGAGCTGTAAATAGCTGAAACGCATATTTGCATTGTCCGGAGATTCTGCTCAAATGAGGCCGCTGTGGGTGCTAAACAAGCTCTCAAGAACCCATATTTTACATTTCATGGACCCAGAGCCACATATATGATAAACTTAAGTCTCCCCAGAGTTTCTGAGAAATATTTTTTTCCCAAAGATTAGCCCCTTGGTGGAGCCCCTGTTATCAAGTCTGAATCCCATGAACTAATTGGCCTCATGGAACATTCAAATACTCCTACTGTGTTTACCATGGAGTAGGAAACACTGAAGGGCAATGGGTGTAGATTTCTGATCACAATGATACTTATTCATTGCCCAATTAATTTTAATCAACAGGAGTTGGATTGAGGGGCTCCTTGAACTGAAGAGGGATCTGACTGTGTATGGCCTGTTCTGGGAAAAATGCTTGTAACTGGCAGACAGCCTCTCAGTGTCAAGTGCTAAGCAGCTGGTGATTTGGAGAAGAAAAGGGAAAAAGAGGGCTTGAGTTACAAAGTGTTCTTCCAGAACAGTAGGGGTTCTGAACTATAATTGCGCCACTGCAGCTGTGCACTCTTTAGCAGGAACATTTCTGCAGAAACCATGCACTTGTTTCTTTTGTTTCTGTTTTTAAAAGGAAGAGTAAACCAACCACCCTCTGAAAGTGCTTGAGTGAAACATACAGTCAGTGTTGCCAAATTGGGCTGGATCCTCTAGAATTGGGCAAAATATGAGGAAAAGCTTTTTGTGTTTGTGCAACACAGTGCTGTAGAATGAAATGCAGTTATAGTCCCATTTTGCTATAAGACTAAACAATGTATTGGCCTTTATTATCCTTTTGGCTTTTCACAGGCAGCTCTGATGAAAAGCCATTGTGTCATTGGCCGTGCACATGCTAGATTGTAACGCTTCCAGTCAGGATGCTTTCTGTTACCCCTCGTTAAAGTCAAAAATAACTTGGCTGTGTTATTTAGCCTTATTAAGATTTCTTAAAAATGTACGTTTTTTTATTTAGCTTTATTCATCAAGACCGGGACATGAAATGACCATGTTAGGTTGTTGGTGATCCTGAGTGCCAGAACATTAAAAAAAAATCCACTTGCTCTACTCTATTGATATTTTAAACTTGTATTAAATCAACGATCCAATCCTTGGTTGACTGACGATGTGAAGTAAGGTATTTTATGAGCACTAATCTGCAAGATTGTTGATGATCTCGCTATATAAAGTCTAATCGTTGTTTGAAATCCAGCTGATGATTGCTGGTAGTGTCATCCGCAGATTTACCAACAGAGTTCTCTTCATGTCGAGGGCTACAGTCGTGGGTGTACAGCGTGAATATGAGGGGGCTGAGCACACAGCCCTGGGGGGCTCCGGTGTTCAGCAGTAGAGCAGAGAAGAGTGAGTGTGACCACAAATCCGAAACTGCCTATTCAATCATATTTAGTATTTAATCATAGTTAGACTAAAGCTGCTGTTAGATTTATTGTTACATATAGAGAGAGCAAGGCTAGACAGTTTTTATGCAAGTGAATATTAAAAAAACACATTTCCACTAGGTTACCTGTATGAGGTTGCCTCATAACAGCACCTGCAGGCGTTATTTTCTCTAGTGGTTTATTTTCATTAAAAATCCTTGCACACCTTTCATTATTATCAAAGAGGCATATTATTTTTGTATAAAAGAGGTGTCCGTTACATTTTGAAGGCACTTGTGAGATGAATTGGTAAATATTGAATGACGGGTAGATTTCTTTAGCGAGACATCTTATGGCAAAGCCACATTTGCACTTCAAGAATGATCAGATGTCACATCAAGTTAAGGACCTCTGACCATCTGTTCTCTGCTGAGTCTCTAATGACTGACCTGATCCATGTTTAATCTTAAATCCTGAAACCTAATTGAAATTGAATGGCCTCAAAGTGCTTTCAGAATTGTGTTTTTTTGTGTTTTCACAATGCTGGCCGCAGGTTGTTTTCAAGGTTCAGCAGGCCGGACAAACATATTTAGTGAGACTTCAAATTCAAATTCAAAAGCTTTTATTGTCATTGTACAGAATACAACGAGATTTATAGTCACTGCTCCAGTGAGTGCTTTGAAAACAGACATATTAAAACACAGATTAAAAGGTCTGACAGTTTCGACCAGCAAGTAGTGCACACAGCTTCGGATGGTCATGTAGATGACCAGGATTAATAAATAAATGAATAAAATAGAATTATGATAAAATATATATGATAAAAATTACAGTGTATACATAGAGACAGATCATGATTATTGCACAGTGGGGATATGGGGAGTTATTTTTGTGTGTTTAATGTCCTAATGGCCCATGGGAAGAAACTGTTTGTGAATCTGGAGGTGCCGGCTTTCAGTGAACGGTAGCGCCGGCCCGAGGGCAGCAGGTCGAACAGATGACGGGCTGGGTGGGATGAGTCCTTCAGGATGGAACTGGTCCTCCTGAGGCAGCGAGAGCTGGTGATGTCTTCCAGGGAGGGCAAAGGGCAGCCAATAATCCTCTGGGCCGTGTTAATGACCCTCTGCAGACTTCTCAGGAGATGTGGGATAGCGTTAGTTCTAGTTAATTATTTAGCATGTAGCAGTTTTAGTCTGGCTATGAATAACAGTTGTTGTATTTTGTGTTATTTAGTTTTTGTTATTTGTGTTGCCTACTTTTAAGATGAAACAGTCTTTGCCTGCAGTAAAAATGCTTGGTTGCCAACTAGAGGTATGTTGGCGGCACACTTATTTCCAAGCAGTCAAAACAAAAATCATGTCCAATATTTGTCCCACTGACTCCCTGAGTTGATATCTAAACACTGGCATGATTAGCAGATCAATGCAATCTTTTATAGCAAGTGAAAGTAACCTTGCATGAAAATATTTTGGCTAAAAACTAATACAAATTTCCAAGTCGTTTCCTGTTAAATATTGACCCAGCTTGGCTTCCTGCATAAACTCTCATCAGGTGTGTCAACAGCTACATTTTCTTCGGATGTATCATTTCAATTAAAGAGTCAAATTATTCCTGGATCATGTTATAAAAGCAGATTGAAACACATCTGAAACTCAACTCTGCTGTCAGATATTTGAGATTTGATAAAATGTTATTGACTGGTGTATCTCATATACTGCTTGTATTCCAATCAACACAATCTGTCCCTTTCTTTAGCTGTGAGAACAAGCCTGAGCACTAGGGAAACAAAACAGAAGGAACATAACACAACCTTTAACCCAGATAACCTTATTTGAGTTGTTCAAGGAAGTTGACTAATGTGTTCTGTACATAAGATGACTGTTGACAGAGTGGAAGACTTGCTGATTTATATAATTAATGTTTCTCAACGTTTGACAGTTAACTACTGACTCACTGTCTTCAAAACAAACTGTGACAACAGATGTCACAAATGTTGTAGAAGGAAAAACGTCAACATATGATAACTGTTTTCCTTGCCTTCATTTAATTATTAGTATTTAGTTTGTTCTGTAAATATAACGCTGCATCTAAATCCTACTAATTAACACATATGTTAAGTCTTTTCAAAACACAAAGTCTAATTAGGTAGTTACCACTGCCCTGGTACCTTCAACAAATTTGATTGTTTAACTAATTAAGCTCTGTTGCAAACAAACGTGTATGATACTCACACATTTTGATCAGTCAGATGATTTCAACAAATGAACACTTATGTTTTTGAAGCCTGAATGAAATTGCCAGAAGTAAATGGCTGGCAAAGGGTTATAAAAAAAACTACACCTCGGTCAAATGACTTCAACTTGCCTTCTACTGAGTAGATGAGTTTCCCCATGCAGCATGATAACGTTTAAAATCCCTAACAACCTCAGTAGTCTCAGTGCAAAGCATTAAAACGTACAACTGTTTCTTCTGATTATACAAAATGTGAACATCTTTAAAGGTTGATGTTAAAACAGACTTTATTTTTTTTTAAAAAGAAACTATTTAAAATACCAGTTGACTTTGAAGAGAGGGTGCCAGAAGTGCAAACATTTTAGTGTTTTAGGACTCATTCCTGCAGCCCTCTTGAACAAATAAGACACTTTTCCAAAATGTTTAACTATTCCTTAAGGACCATTCCTCTCTTAACTGAAAACTGCAAGCAAGTAGTTCCTCCTCTCAGGTAAAGTTGAACCTGAATCAACATTAAGATCACAGCTCTCATGTATAATGCACATAAAACAAGCCTGATCACATAACATATTTTCACTCAGTGCTATAGAAGCACTAGTGGAACCTGTGGAACAATACCCGACTGTTACTGCAGGCAGTAACCTGTGCCAGCATTCATGTGAGTCCAGTCCACAGGGATTTGTTTTAAAAGTGTTTACTCGAGGACGTGTGGCTACAGGGCTAGAAAACCGCTCTTTCTGTAACCCTGCCACAACAGGCCCATCATCAGCATCAGACCCTACGTTTCAGCCTGGTTTTGTTTCTGTCTGTCTTTGCACCTGCTGTTTGTGCTGGGACATTGTTATGCAGCAAATTGAAGAAATATATTTGGTCAAGTCACATGCATTGCAGGGGATGAAGCCTTAACAAAATAAATGAATGGCTTGTTTTTCTGTCCTTCACACACTGGAGCCTCCCCCTTTTGCACTTTTGCTTACATAAAAGTAAATAAAAAAAGTCCAAGCTGTGTTTGGCTTGTTTTTTCAACCTCAAAGTTGTCATTTAACTCGTTCTGGTTAATTGTTTCTGTAGGACATTGCTCTTGCTAACAACCATCTTTCATTTTGTATTCTTACTAAAACCTTGGCTTGTCCTCCTTGAGCCTAACAAGAGCAGCCTCTCCCAATGAAAATTAATGGCAGGAAAGGATTATGGGAAGAGATGCTGGGTTTACTAAAGTTCAGAGTGTATGAAGATGCTTGAAAAAAGAGAAGGACAGAAACTGGCAGAGGCAAGAGAGAAAGAGAGAGGCAGGGAATATCTTATAGTTACCTCTGGGGTAATTATGTTCCCTGCATCCTATGGGCCCCATTTGCACATTTGCGGGCCGTGACCATGGCCAGGTTCAGTGTGTAAATCAGAGGCCTCTTCCCCCCCCGGACGCTCCATGACCTCCCTGCTGCTCACATCCTGTTAACCAGCATGGGAGAAACAAAGCCCCTGCCTCCATCTTTATTTATCCTCTGTGAATACTGTGCTTATTTTTACTCCACTGCATTTATTTGCCAATTGCATGCAAGCATACATTTGTATTTTAATCACTTAAGTACATTTTGCCAATATAACTTTTGTCAAAGTTTAAATGCAAGGATTATACTTGTCATTAAGCAATTATAAGCATATTCAACTAAAAGTAACTATACTCACACCTGCAAAACTGTCAAACTGTCAGCACTTTAAAATTACATCCCAGCTTTCACTACTACTGGTCATTGAGGGAAAGCATATTAACAAAGATGTGACTATAAACAAAAACATCCCAAATGTGTTGATTTCTCAATCTCTTTATAGAGAATAGAAGAAAGATTTTGAGATTTAGATATGGCTCAACAACGTTCTTGTTCTGATTGATGTGTGCACGTGTGCCTCAGTGTTGCAGATCCCAGACAGTGCCTGCAGACACACATGTCCACTGCTGCTGATCTCTCAGAGCTGAGTGTGACCTTGGCATGCAGATAAACTGTGAGTGACATTGGGGAAGATGTTTCCAACCTGGTATGCCTGTGCTTCAGGGATCGAAACGGAAGAGGAGAGATGGTAAACACATACCACACGTAAGTCTATATGGATGGGTGAGGCAGGGGGATGGAGAGGTGTGGAATTTTGTTGACAGGGGATGTAAGGTGATTCCGAGTTGTTTGTCAAGCCCAGAGCTGTTGTTGACTGTGAAGCCTGCTGAATAACAAACTGGGAATTCCCTTCAAGAATAAAACTTCTCTTTTCTTTTCATCTGTAGGTCAAAGTGCATTTAGAGGCTAAAGCAGCTGCAGCTTTTGCAGCTTTTTGAACATGAGTCAGACTGAAGCTGTAGGACCTGTTTATCTGTTTTTTAGGGCACGTTGTTCACTCGTTTATTCTCACGTGGGGCACTGGAGGTTCACTCTGCTGTAGATGAATGCTAGCATGTGGACGGATTTCTATAAAATAAATTCTGTTTACCCAGAAAAAAAAAAAAATGTTTTTCAGTCTCACTCTTGCATATAACTCTGTCTCTACTTCAAGTGCAAGCCATCTTCTTGGTTTTGCATGTCTAACTTTAACTTAAGGAATAGCTGCCAATAATTAATTGGTTGGTGTCAGTTGACACAATGGTTACTAGCCACAATGCTGGTTGTGTTTTTACCTTTTGAGTCTGTGTGTATGTCTTCATGGCAAAGTTGGGGAAACATACTGTAGCAGGAACTACCACAGAGGAGGTTTTGAGTACTGTGCCAGGTTTTATATTTCTGTCTCTCTATTTCTGTTTATTCATTTCATCACGGTGATGGTCCCTGGCCACATTATTTGGTAGATTGAGATCAAATGAAGGCTGAGTTTGAAGATGGGTGTGGTCCCTGGTCTGAGGAAGGGTGGCAGAATTTGTGGGGTAGGAGGTAGGGAAAGGTTCTATGTCGTCCCCCATCACACCCACTTAGCACTCCTGGCCCAATTTAGCCTCGCTGCCAGTCTGATCCTATCACAGACGGTCTCTAGTTTCACATTATTGTTGATGCTCTCTTGGCAAGAGCCACAGTATTTATTGGAAGTTTCAAAGCCTCAAGACGCAGCTGCAATACTCTTTTCATTGGTACATGTATTTATATGATGGTAAATAATCTGCACAGTGAGAAAACAAATGTATACACTTTTTTCATTCTGCACGGATATGCCGATGACTATGACAACCAAAAGCACAATGCTTTTATAGTCGTTTTCCAGCATTCTCTTTTCCACACCAATAGAACATATAAGGGATTTGGGCCTACCTTGTTAAAATAGGGTCCAATGCATTTTCAAACTAGTGAGAATAGAAGCTAATAACAGTTTGACATGTTTGTCGGTTATGATTTACTGCGTGTTTTAACTTGTTGAAAGGTCCCACTGCTTGCAAGCCAAAGCCATAAGAAAAACAAGCAACCATAAAAAGCTGTGTGGTGTAAACAAAACAGTGGAAAAAGTTGTAGTGTGTTTTTAATATGGTGAGTGTTTTAGTTATTTAACAAATATGAAATGCTAAATCAATGCACTGTTTATATACCTGTCAAAGCAGTATGGTATAGTACCACTGTGCCTGGTAAATACACTGCTTTCACATCACATACACTGTTGATTTTAAGTAAAATAAAGTCATTTTTCTCCACTGCCACCATTCAAAGCTCTGTGCAAAGTAGGTCAAACTGAGACGGAAAGTATAAGGACATTTAACATACAGAATACATTCTGCAGCCAAAGCCCAACACACAAATCAAACTGCTTTCCTGCTCAAACACTTGACTCCTTCATAAACCTCAAACTGGAGTTCACCCAAATACCTTCTTGCTGAAAAAACAAGCCTGTCAACCAAAATCTTTAATATATAAAAATGTGAGGTTAGAAACATTTATCCAAGATCATGCATTGTAAAAAGTAATTGGCTTTAAGTTATTTTAAAACTGAGCAGTGATAGATCAAGCTATTCAGCATCAGATCATCATTTGTATTAGCATCCCCATTAGCACTAGCATGAGCATTTGCTAATATTATTAAAGCTCTGGCTTCATAGATTGTATTGTAAGAAGCAAAAGTTGATCCAGAAGACACAGGACAAATAAAACAGCATGAAATAGGGTGGGACTCATTTGAAATGTCTCAATAATTATTCAAAACCTACCAAGACTGCCAGTAGACTGATCTGTATTCAATCATCAGGATTTGTTCTTACAATGCAGGAAGGATTTCTGCACATTGACAACACTTGATTCACATGAAATAAGCTTTGATACACCTTGAAAAGGCAATTTAGGGGCGTGAGAATATGCCTTGACGACGCCATGAATCCTTGCAGCCAACAGATAAGTGGTTTCAGACAAAGTGTCACACCCAGGAACACGAGTGGAAAGCGTCTCCACTGGCATCAGCCGTAATGTTCTGTTCAGTCATTGCACTTGTTATTATCCACAAGTGTAGAACAAGTTAAAGTCAGGGGAGGTGGGCTGGGAATAGGTTCTTAAAGTGGGTAGTTTGCCAAGAGGCTTGTTTTAAAACAACTCATCCTTCAAGACAAGACTCGGGGATGAAAGCCTGTATTTGTTTTCTGATCAGTGAAATTAATTTAAACTCCCCAAACTAGGAGTGATGCTGCCCTCTGTTGGACAGAATGTAATACACAACCTTTTTTCCATGATATAGGCCTAGTGAACCAAATGAAGACATTGCATCTGTGAATGTCTTCAAGAATTTTATCAGACAAACTCACTACACTGCGCGGATGCCGGATGGCCTGATATTAAAATTGCTCAACAAAAAAATTGCAAGCTTCCATGCTAGTAAGAAAACAATATCCTTTTTTGTGGCAGTAAGTAAAAAATGAGGCTATCGTGTATTACTCTATACATTGCTAAGTAGCCAATTATCTAATGTAGTCGTTTTATATTATCCAAAGTGACTTTTATCTTAAAAACTAAATATAGCTTCAGTAAAGCATGATTATACCTTTGCATTCAATTGAAATGGGAGTTTCATCCTACAGGCCATAGGGATGTTAAACACCTGAACTTTTGAAAGAAGATACATCAGTTTGCAACTCATATATCAATATTCCAATTACTGTATATAGACTATTCTGCACAGTTTCTATCATATTCTTTATTTACTTGTACTATTTTATCTGTTTATTGTGTTGCATTGTTGGAGGAGCCTGTGACCTAATATTTTCATAACTGCACCGTAGCTATACACACACACACAACACTAAAAGCCTTGAAAATCTAGATTTTTGATAATTTCAAAAAGGATACAAATCTCATAACTAAGTCCTCTCACAACATCCACATTATAAACTAAATGTTTACCACATTAGCATATTTATTTAAACAAGATGTCATCACTGATGTAAAGGAATGACAATTCTGCAGTGGATTTACACACTGGTGTGAAATAATCAATATGCCTAAAGCTTGGACACAACCATGAGTAAAAAGTCATGCAAATGTAATGATAATATTTATGGAAACAGTTTTTATTTACTATGAACGAAGTAAAAACAGAACACCAACTGTGATCTTAATAACCAAATTTATTTCATAGCATCTGAACAAGTGTCAAATAAGACCACATTTATTTCATAGCATCTGAACAAGTGATATCGAGTCATTCCTCACTGTATTGGTCTCGACTCTCACAGCTCAGGGGGCACTGCAAAGAGAAACAAATTGAAAAAGGTCAACAAACAACCTCAACCATTATAATAAAAACAACATTTTCCAGTATAAAACCGCAGGGTCTTTAGTTCAGGTAACGCATTGCTAAATCTCATGTGTAATTTGTGAATAGACAGTGCTACGTATTCGACTCAGCCACCTGTCCCCTTCACTCGTCTGGTGATTCAGGAGGAAATAAGTCCACGAAGAGTAAACCAAGTGCAGTCATGACAAGCTTACAATATGAGTGGTAGACAACCATTCATCACTAGGTTTACTAAGATAAATATGAATCTGTTACATAATCCTCCATTTGAGAAGCTTAGCGTTTCTGTTACTGAGTGTCAAAGAGCGCTAGATTAAATTCTACGGTCATTTCATAAAGAGAGACTATAGTGTTTTTATATTTGACTGTATTAAAATATGTTTTAATAACATGTGGTCTGACATACATACAGAGGACATGACATAGGAAAACCTTTTTTTTTTGTGGGTCAACACTTGTTGCAGGATTCCAATATTAACTTGCTGAACATTGTGCTTGAGCAGAGATTATTTCTGGTTGCACAAGCTATTTAGCGAGACAAGATTTATCTAAATATTTTTTATACTCACTTTATTGTATTATATGATACACTGCCCATTTCAAAATAGCAGCCCAAGCCAATGTTTTTTAAATAGTTCTCTAAAGCACAAAGTTAGCTTGATGTACTCTAACACCTACTAGTGAACGCTCCTAACAGACATGACTGACTGGGTTTATTCCCCTCACCTATCGTAGCCTCCTGGCTTCTCTTTCAGACTCCAGAAGTGTCAGCACATCTCCCTCTCTGACGGGGCCCTTCACGTTCCTGATGATGGAGCGGTTGCTGTCGTCCATGAACTCAACACGGACCTGTGTGTTCAGATGAAGAGACATGATTACAATTAAAAAGAGATGCACAGGTACATCCTGAAGTTAGTGTTCTACACAGGTATTACCATTATCTATATATTGCCATTTTAGTAAATACACAGAAGCTTGTTGAATGTTCAAATGTAATGGTGTATCATAACAATATACTTTATTGATCCCCAGGGGAAATTGAACTGTGCAACATACTTTTACTATCCTACATGTGTTTAATACCTTTAGTTACCAAGAACATTTGGATTTATGGTGTGATATATAATCAACCCTTAAAATAATTAAGTTACACCTGAAGTAAATTCACAAGCTACCCTGCATTATACAAAATCATTAAAACTAGCTGCACCTTTACCAGCTTTGATAATTTAATAAATCAATATTTATAATAAAAACAAATGTTATAACTTATTCTGAAATGGGCCAATCTGCATAATAAGTACGTATTTTCCGTATATTTTATGCCAATACTTTTCCTTGAGTATCTTTTGATTGCAGGACTTGTAACAGAGTATTCCTTCACTCTTTTACTCAAGTAAAAGATGAGTACTTTTTCCACCTCAGCTTGTGACTAAAACGCAAGCCTTTGCGTAGATTTGGGGATGTACTGCGTTTTTAAAATATAATTATGAAAACTTTTGCTCAACAAAAGACGCGATCAGAGACAAGCCCTGTATTAAATGGGTAAAATGCTAACCGTTAGCATACCTGTGTACACTGTCCCTGGGAACCAGTTCTTCCGAGCACCTTGGTGACCTGTTAAAAAAAACACAAGTTATAATGTAGATGCGACATGTTAAATTAAGCTTGTTTTCTTGTGTGAACTAGAAACAGTATCAAAAAGTCTACAACAGGTTAACAGTGAACTAGCTGGCAGGCTGTAGCATGGATAGGCCTCCATGTTGGAGGCATGAGCGCCGCTGTGCCTCCGCTAAACCATGTTCTAAAGTAGTTTTAGCTTCAATATTCTAGGACCGTATATTACATTATTCGTTACTGTAGCCCTCTATCCGTTCGGATATGATTATTTTCGTCTTATTGTGCATTTTCTTACTCTGGCGAGCTTGATCGGCTGCACGCGGCTGGCGTCCATGTTGTCAGGTTAGACCGGAAAGGATGTCACTTGGTGCGCGGCAGTGATATATAGTAAATGTAATTCTTGTTTGTTTTTTTTACGTCCCAATTTTGTTTAAAATGTTATCAAATCAAAACAATCATATATTAAAAATAAATGTATAAATAACACGCAATATTCTTTTTAAATAATTGAAATAGTATTTAAGATACCCACTTCCTTTTCCGGGGAATGGCCAACACCATTCACACACTTTCATGGGTGGAATCCAGGGCTGTACCACTCATCCTTGTATTGTAATCTTTTCTCCAATAGCAATTATTTTAACTTCTGATTTGATTGACATTTAATATGGAATGTCTCTATAAGGTCAACCGTATTTTTTAACATATATGCATGCCGTTGTTAATTATTGCCTGTTTTTTTTATTGTATTTGTTCAGAGACTACACATATTTTCAATTTTTCTTTTGCCACACACATAGGCCTATTTATTTTTAAAGCATATTCTAATTATTAGAGTGCATGGTTAAACTTAATCATAGTTTTATTCTATACACTGTCATTTTGTTTCGTTTTAATCAAAATGTGATTTAACTTTGACTATGCTTGACTATGTTCTGAGAAACTAATGTAAATATCCATTTAAAATGAATGCTCCAATGCCAAACAGGAATTATATTATTTATAACAAAAATATATTTTCTAACATGATGAGTGTAACATTTATACCATTTATTTATTCTGTGACTTTAATTGAAAACTCAGGCTTATTTTGACTGTTATTTTTAGCTGTACACAGTGTAATATAACTGCAGCATTAAAACGAATTCCCTGTGCTAAAGCCTCTTCATAGCATTGTTAGCTTTACAACACTGTGATCACAGCACTCTCTCCGCCCCTCTCAGAACTCAAAGCCTTAAATCACAACACTAATCCTCGTGAACAGTATTTTTAACTTGCGTTTGGACAGAAAGCACAGCAATAGGATTAGAGAATCAGTAAAGAGGCTGAATCCCTCACTCATGCTGTTGATCTTCTTGGACACTGAGAGACAAGCACTGTCGCTCTTTCTTCACATTTATTTCAACCTGAAAGCATTTTTTTCAGAGGACAATATTAAGCCTCAATGGAGATGTCTTTGAACACTTATTGACTGACTTGATTGACACAAAACCGTTGTTTGTTTGTTTTGTTTTCTGAGGATCTGTCACAATGGAGGCTTTAAAGCCCAATATGAAAGTGCTGAAAAAGCGTCGCTCGAGTCTTTTTGCAACCATAAAACGGGAAGTGAGTTTCTCACACAGCATTGAAGACCAGGATTGTGAGTTCCCCTTTTCACAGGACAGCTCAATAAAACCATGGACATCTATGGAAAACCTTGATGCACCTGATGAGAAAAAAAAGACAGGAAAAGATCAGAAAAAACCTGTGAAAAATCCTAGGAAATCAAACATTGTCAACCTTAATGTAGGCGGAAAGGTATTTCACATTCCGACGCATTTGATCCTCAAACACCCAAAAACCAGGATTGGAGTCCTTGTCCTCTGTAAAGATCCGGCCAAACGTCTGACGCTCTGTGACGATTACAACGTTCAGAACAACGAGTTCTTTTTCGACAGGGACCCCATGTTTTTCCACTACATCTTCCACTTCTACTGCAGTAATGTCCTGTGGGTGATGGATAGTCTCTGCCCTGTCAACTTTGAACAAGAGATGTTATTCTGGGGGTTAAAACTGAAGGACACTCCAAGGTATGCTGTAGATACTGAATATTTACTTTGTGTAAAGTAGAGGTTGGTCTGTTGCTTTTTGTGTAATTTAAGCGTACGTTTCTCTTCAAAATAGACAATACATTTTGTTCTTCTCAGGTGCTGCCGCATTCTGTTTGAGGAGAAAGTAGACGACATCAGAGACCAACTGAAGGTGAACCAGGAGTTGATCGATGAGATTAAGCCTCACCAAGATGGCGAGGGATACAAGAAGATGTTTCTCGGAGGCTTAAGGAAGATCCTCTGGGACTTGATGGAGGATCCTTACTCCTCACTATCAGCAAAAGCATTTGCCGTGTTTTCCAGTCTCTTTGTGCTCATCTCCATTGTTGCCATGACAATGAACACAGTAAATGAACTGAGGGAGTACAAAATTGGAGGCAAAACCTACATGGAGTGGGTAGAGATATCTTCCATCCTTTTCTTCACCTTGGAGTACTTCTTGCGTCTACTCACCACATCCAACATCAAGCATTTTCTGAAGAGTGCCCTGAACTTAGTTGACGTGGTCGCTGTAATGCCCTACTTCCTCCAGATCATGTTTGAGACATTTGTAATGGACTCAGAAGACATTGGTGCAAAAGAGGATTTGAAGGCCATGGCGAGGGTCAGCAAAATCAGCAAGGTGCTCAAGGTGGTCAAGTTGATGCGCATCTTTCGTATTTTGAAGCTTGCTCGTCACTCAACAGGCATGAGGGCTTTTGGCTTTACCATCCGACAGTGCTCTGAGCAGGTATGGAGGAGTATCACACAAGGCAAATATATGAGAAACACAAAAATACTTTTTTATTGAGGGGACATGCACAAATAAAACAATGGATCCCAGCTAACTCACATACGAAGTTAAGGCTATAATAACTTATTTACAATAAAAGTAAAACTACTCATTAATGAGCCTGACACAGAACGATTACACACTTTAGGGTCTTTCAACTCATGGTTTTTGTTTTCACGCCTGCCACTTCCTGCCAAGCTCTTAACTGCCAAGTGACAAAGTTTACTGCTAGCTAGTAAATAAAGTGGTGCATTAAGCAGCTAAAAAGCAGATATTTCCCTCAAGAGTGCGAAGGGACCATAACAAAGCCAAAAGCAGATGCTAACGTTGCTCCTTCATCATTAAGCTAACAAGTCACTGTATCAACTTTACACAGCTTTGTATGATCATAACATTCAAATATTTTTGAGCTTATGTTCCCTGCCGCCTAAATCTCCCCAAAATCCATTGATGAATGTGTACTGTTTATCCTGGCAACTTGATAACTCAGGACCCACGAAGAGTTATGTAAACCTTCGCCATTTTTAAAAGAGAAGAAGCACAGTAAAGGCTTTGTTGTTTTTAAGTCGAGGTGGTAAAAAGTAATTACGCTTTAAGGTGTTCTTGGCAAACTGAAAATGTTGCTATTCATTTAAAAAAAGATCTGCGTGACCATTTTGTAGTATTTCATGTACAATATTTAGGTATTTTAGTTCAGTATTAATACAGCTTAAAATTGTCATGCTGGTTGTCTTCAATGTATGAATAGATCTCCAAACATGATTGGGCACAGCTGTTTACATTTACTTTTCTGTCACTATGTAGGTGTGCTGTCTGTTTCTGTTCATCGCCATGGGCATCTTCACCTTCTCTGCTCTGATGCACTCTGTGGAGATCGATCAGCCTGGAACACCGTTCACCAGCATACCAGACGCCTGGTGGTGGGCAGCGGTGAGTGGAATAAACTTCAACGTCCAAATCATCCTAAACTCTGGTTCTTGGTTTATTTTCTTGACCTTGACTAGAGGTAGAACTCTATTTTTGCTGAAAAACATTTGTATCATATGATCTTAGCTGCATCCAAATAGTGTAAACTCAGTTATTTTTCCCCTTTCTTACCACTTTCCTTGACGTTGACGGACACGTCATGAAACAACATGTTTATATGGTACCAGGTAGCATGTGAATCACTATTATTTGTATGGAACAACTCAAGGTACTAAGCATTTAGAAGATGGGACCAACTCTAATGGTAACTCTAATCTTCTTATCTAACTCATGGCATTTTCCCCTAAAGGTCAAACTATTCTTTTAATTATTAGAAAGAGAGATAATGGTGTAAACCGAATATTGGACTAAACACATTCTGACCACCAAAAGAAATTGCAAAAGATCCCGGTTTCTTTTACAATTCTAGTCGATAGAAATTGTGTCAGATACATCCGGCAATTGACTATGCAGTATAGGATGCAGTACATTTAGCTAATAAATCTGAATGCTAATGTGAAGGAATACATATTCAAAGGCTCCACCAATACTTTTGATTTCCTTTAAATCATTCTTGATTTTTTTGTTGCAAACTATGGTAATTAAAAAATAGTATTTCTTTATAATTTCTTATGAAAATGTTGTGTTGTTCTGCTTGAAAATAATAACTTCCCCAAACTTTGGTTGCTTTTTGTTTTAATTTACTAGTCTATTTTTCCAATTGCATGCACTGTCATTTAGGGTCATTTGGGTTTTATTCATCTGGTGGCAGCTGTTACTGATATGTGTCTAATCCCCAATACGGTGTAATGCATCTTGTTTGTGGCTAGACACAGTGATTGCATTCGAGAGACGGAAAGTGTTGAAGAGAATTTGTGGATGTTTATTTGATCCTCTTAACTCTCATCTTAGCGACACATCAACTGATCAGTACAAGAAACATTTTAATTATTGCACTCTCCAAGGCCAAAGGGCATTTTAGGATAGGCACGATGAGGATGAGCATTTGCTCTTTGGGGGTAAAAAGGGAAATCCCAATTTTACATTCTTCCACCATCTTAAGTTATAATTTTCAAAAAAAAAATCAAAAAAGGGGCACAGGAGTATTGAGCATGGGGATCTTGCCCCTTGCTCTTGCATTTTCTTATTTCAAATAGTGCTGCATGTATGCTGACTCACTTTATTCTTTTCCTACAGGTGAGCATCTCTACTGTGGGCTATGGGGATGTGGTCCCTATCTCCTATATGGGCCGCTGTGTGGCGTTTGGATGCATCTCTTTTGGCATCATCCTCAATGGCATGCCCATCTCCATCCTGTTCAACAAGTTCTCAGACTATTACGCTAAACTGAAGGAACAAGAATACACATGTTCAAACACTGTGCGCTCATTCCAGCTCAAGAAACGTCTGAGGCGCAAGTTTGACAACTGCTTCGAACCCCAGCTGGAGGAGTCTGACGACGAGATTCACTATCGGCCCATTGGAAGGCAAACTGTCCACGAGAGCGAGGACTTAGCTGCCCAATAGTTTAAACCTTGCGCATTC